ATTTCACGTGAATTGCATTTGTTTTGAAAAAGTTATTTACATTTATGTCACGTAAATAAAATTCCAAAAAGTTTTGTCACATACTGTATTTCTATTATCTACTTGTATACATTTTCACATAATACACATACACTTACAATTCTCTAAGTTACAAAAAAAAAAAGAAGAGAGAAAATAATTATAGTTAGAATAGATGAACTGTTTGATAAATGAATTAGTGAAAATGGCAACAAACTTTCAGAAAATTTTAACAATCAAGTTGGCCAAAAACAAGTTAACATAATTCTAAGGGAACTCACAAAAACAATTCAAAATGTTGAAGGTAGCCACTATGTACAACCAGAAAAACAAGAAAGAAATCTTATTAGGATATAAAATTTCTTTAAAAAAAGATGACAAAGACCTTTTTGAATGACTTGAAACATTCAAATGAGCTGTAAATGCCAACAACTGGCAAAGAATCAACATTGCATTAGGATACCTAACAGGTTTAACTGCAGATTAGTACTATAACAGAAGGAATGTAATTACACATTGGGATGAAAATAAAAATGCTGATAGAAACTTTGTATCATCTTTCATTCAAAACTTTGTCACTTTTGAACAAAAATATCAATAACAAGTAGAGTTAAATATGTTATATCAGAAGAACAGAAAACAAGTAGGTATGTACACATATAAGTTCAGGAGATTATCGAAAAAGATGGACCCAGATAACACACTGCTACAAATCTATATAGTATAAATATTTATAAGAGAATTGTGAGGTAAGATATCATTTATGTTATTCATGATTAATCTGAAAACTTTAGAAGATATGATGGCAGAAGCAAAAAAGATAGAAGCCAGAGACTATTATGGAGGATCATTGGTCAAAAAAGTCAGATATACACTTTTGAAAAACAGTATTGTGAAATTAATTCAACTAGTACAGAAGTTGATCACCAATTATGTCAAGTTCATTATAACAGTTTTTTTGATTTAAGCTGGATCCAGAACTAGAGGTAAAATAAACATACAGGATGTGACTTATTTCAAGTGTGGGAAAAAAGAATATCATACAAGAAGCTGCACAATAAAAGAAACAAACTGCAGAGTGCCACACCAGTAACACTAGTAAAACATAAGGTTGAGATTTGCTACATAGAACTAAAAGAAAGAGAAAATAAAATGTATAGCCTTAATACTAGGTACCAGCCATACACCAGAATTCACAATAATAATAAAACTCAAAATGAGATGAACATCTAAGAAACAAGGGAATGAAGATACCAGACCAACAGAAATGCTAAAACCCTGTAATAAGAAGGAATATGGAAAAGAAAAATTAGTGCAAAGAATGAAGAAAGAACCTATAAACATATCTCAAAGGCCTTCCAAAAGAAAAAGAAGCTATTGATAATTGAATCAGAAACCCATATAATATTATTAATAATTTCTTATCAACACCTGCAAATATTACTTTAGGACAAATATTGCAATATTCCAATCAGAAAAGGAATTTTGCAAAGACATTGCAAAGACCAACTATTTCAAAAAATACCATGTATACCGATACTAGCAAAAAAATAATCACTATCATAAGATGCCACATCAGGATCCATGACCAATCTATAGTGTCTGTGATCAATACTGGCATAGTAGTTAGTTTCATTACTAAGACATTAATGGACAGACTAGGCCTGAAAATAAAAGAAAAGTCAATATTAGCAATAGTCACAATCACTAGAATGTGGAATAGGATTCTGGGCAATATTAATAATGTAAAGATTTCAATCCAGGGTATTGACATTCTATGTATCTTTTAAACAATTGACTCAAACAATAAAATATTGTTATTGGAGAATAACTGGTTTGTAAAGGTACAAGCTCATATTTAAGGATGGGTCCTTAAATTATTTAGCATATAAAATTTTGCAAATCAATTGTATTTCTTTTGAAAGAATATAATTATTTATTTATTACTTTAATAGATAGGGGCATAATTCAAAAAACACCTGAATCAAGTAGCCTAAATTGCAAAAAACCTTTGTAGGTAGTTCTTTTTTGACTTTATATTTTAAAAAAACTTTTTTAATAATTAGAAACATTTGAATTATGTCCTTACCTTTAATTTAGGAACTTATTTTTAATTGTATTCATTATAATGAAAAAAAAATGATATTGAGATACCAAGGTAAAATTATAGCCATATCAATTTTTAATAATCCAGAGAATGACATAGCTAGTGAGAAATACTATTCTATGACTGCTAGAGAAGAACTGTTGAATAAGTTGCTTGAGAAAGACATAGAAAATACAAAAGGGTATTATACTGAAGACATGAATAAGAAGAAACTAACAATCAATATACAAGAGAAAGGTCCTACTGTTTATCTTTCCCAAGTAGAAGAAAATTTATAATGACAAACAATTCAGAAGAAGCTACTATCAAGAAAAAGATTTAACAAATCGAGATAAGCAATGAATTGGACTGTATCAAACAGAAACAAGCAAAAAGACTGCTGCTAAAAAAAAGAAAAGTCTTTATATGAATAATTGAAGAATTAAAACAAACAAACAAGGTTTGCTATAAAATTAACACAAAAGATACTACACTGATTAAACAACTAGTATATAAAGTAATTCCAAGTATAAGAGAATTTATCCAGAATGAAATTATCCACCTGTTGAATCAGAAATTAATTTGAAAATAATAAAGTCCATGGGTCTCACCAATAGTTGTAATACTGAAAAAAGTAAGAAAGTTAAGATTGTGCATAGATTATCATAAGTTAAATGTAATAATCAAGAAAGATACATACTTATTATCACAAATTGATGATTTACTAGAAACCTTCACAGAAGCAAAATGGTTCACTACATTGGACCTAATAAGTAGATACTGACAGGTCACTGTGAAAGAGAAAGATAAGGAAAAAACAGCATTTGTTACCATGTACAGAACATACGAGTTTAATATATTGCCATTCAAGTTGTACAATGCACTGATAACATTCCAATATTTGATAAACAGAGTACTAATCCAATTTGTAGGAAGAATGGTTATTATCTATCTGAATGATATTATTATTTTTTTTGTCATTTATTGAATATCTAATCCATATGGAAGAAGTATTACAAGAGTTAAAACTTGCAGAGTTAAACTAAATTTAGAGAAATGTATCTTTTTTCACTTTCATTTTTAGTTTTTAGAACACATGGTTAGTCAAAAAGAAATTAGACCTAATAATGACATAATTGACAAGGTCAAGATCTTTCTGATACCAATAAATTTGAAACAATTATACAGATTTATCAGGTTAGCTTTGTATTATTAGCATTTTATAAATGGATTTACTACTATAGCCTAACCATTACACTATCTACTAAAGAAGAATGTTGAGTACCAGTGGAAGAATAAGCAAGAATAAACATTTGAAACTTTAAAATAATACCTTGTAACAGCTCCAATCCTACATTACTTCGATTTCATGAAAATTTTTTATATTTACACAGATGCATTAGATAATGAACTTGAAGCAGTCCTCACATAAAATAATAATAATAGGAAAAAATTCATCATTTCCTATACCAGTTGTTGGTTGACAAAGCATAAAAGAAACCATTTCACTATGGAGTTGAAGTGTCTGGCAGTTTTTGGACAGTAGAATGTTTTTACCACTACTATAGATTAAACTTGTTTATAATTATAACTAATCATATGGCACTATAATGGTTGAAAACAATGAAACTTACTAAAAAAAGAACCAGGTGGATGCTTTGTCTACAACTATATGATTTTACTATTAAACACAAAAGCAAATATAAACATAATAATATTGATGTATTATCCTATCTTTAAAACCAATCCTGTAGAAAAAAAAAAGAAAAAAAGAAAGAAGACATAGAGAGCAAGAAAAAGAAATATAACTGACTCTGAAAAAAAAATTCAAGAAACAAAATTCAGTTCAGTTTCTGATATCCTGGTACTCCCTTCTGAAAATAATAATAATAATAAAAATAAAGATGAATCCATCACATTATAATTATTTAAAAACCTACCTACAAAGTTATAAGTTACAGTATTTACAAGACTGAATCCAGAAGAAAAATGAAGGCTACAAAAAAAGAGCAAATTTTATAAATACAAGAGTAGACTTCTGTATAAAAAAAATTGACAAAGAAAAAATTGTCTATTGCATGTTATACAATAATATAAGTTAGAGCCAATATTGTTTCTTGCTTACTAACATCCTATAGGAGCTTATCTGAACAAGGACGTGATGTTTAACAAGCTTCATGATACTTATTTTTAACCACAAATGTATAAGAACATTAGGAAATATGTTCATTAATGTGAATCATGCCAAAAGCAAAGAAAGACATATGTATCTAGCCCATTATATCTAATTTTTGTTGCTGCTCCATTTTATCATATTGGTATCAACTTTATTGAATCTTTTTCCCATACATTCTGAATAAACTGTTATATTATTGTAGCTGTATATTACTTAACTAAGTGGCCAGAAGCAATACTCACAAAAAAAAACAGATGCTGTTACAATTGCTGTATTTTTATATTATGAAATTGTGTATCAACATGGATATTTACAATATATCCTATCCAATTAAGGCATACATTTTGCAATCACTTGATTCAAGAATTGATGAGTAAGTTTAAAACCAAATACCAATTTACAATATCTTATCATTCACAAACCAATAGTTTGACAGAGAAGTTCAATAGAACCCAGTGTGAGTCAATTGCAAAATTAGTAGAGTGAATGACTGATTGGAACTTATATATACCTGCCATTTTATTTGTTTATTGAATTGCCAAGAATACAACTATAAAAATAACATCTTACCTTTTTATTTTATTTATGGGAACAATGCTTAATTACTCCTATATCAAAATATGATAGAGGATTTATTAGAAGACATAATATTACAAAAAACCTATGATTTAATAGAATACTTACCAAAAGATTAAGACTCTGCAGTATACAATATGCAACAAGCTCAGAAATAACAGAAAAGATATTATGATGCACATTAAAAGGTTTGTTCCAAATTTTATATTGGTAATAAGATTCTGATATACAAAGCTGTCTTAGAATACTTCCGAAGCAACAAATTTGATCTGAAGTGGACCAGACTCTACTATATATATGACTGCTTATTATATAATGTGTATTGATTATGAATTATGGATGGGAAAGTCATTGCTGTTTTTGTTAATATAAAAATTTTAAAAAATTTTTATGAATAATTAACCATAAGAGATTGACTCTAATATATGATATATATAATATAAGCATTAGGAAGATATTAGAAAGTAAAAATTGTGATACGATGCCAGTCATGTGATTAATTATTGTGATAGTACTGTGAAAAACCCATTCCAATTCTGGTACTCAAGGTTATATAAAGAGAAAATATAAGCAAAAGTGATGGGAAATAATTAAAATAGTAGCTGAATAGCATGTTGAAAAATTAAGTAATGAAGAGAGAATTGTGAAAATAATTGAATAATATAAAATAATTATAACTGAGTATTATATAATTAGGAAGAGTTGTGAGAAGATATTAGATAATTAATTTCAGTAATATAGAAAAATCAACTCAATTAAAATGTATAGAAAAAAGAAAAAAAAGTAAATAAATGATATTGAATAATTAATTGAATTATTTTTGACTTAATCAAATTGTATATACCTTAAATTTTCACTAAGACTTCTTATCTTATCGACGGTTATGCAACATTCTGTCCAATTTAGTAACAAACTTGCCAATTTACCATTACAATATATATATACTGTATATTGTAACAAGATAAGTTTGTACATAACTATTGTTATATAACTAATATCTGTGAAAGGCATTATAAAAAACCTGTTTAGTTAACAGTGCATGATTATTTAATAATAGAATAGAATAGAAAAATTGTAAAAAAAATTTATATAATATAATTGCCATTGTTTTCTGATAGTATAACTATTCTTTAATAATATAAAAGAGATGTATAAAAGGAATATAAAATATAAGAAAGTGAAATAGAAATTAGTGAGAAAATTAATAAGGCTTAATTAAATAAAAACATATATTAAATCAATTTTTTTTTTTGAGTAGGTAAACACCATTTCTTTATTTATTTGTATATTATAAGGTATATATTTGGAAAGAAACAACATCTCTTACGTGTGATTAGCAGTAAGTTTAATGTTAGCCTGCCTATAGTAATCATTTAACTTCTACTAGAAAAGACATTTTAAAACTAGTATACTAATCAAATGATGCCAAGCAGCTATGTAT